GACAACGTGACAATTCTTGTCTAAACCAATTGCCTATAATTTTAATAAAATATTATTAGAAGTTGTACTTTACCACCGTAAGTCAATGTTACCACCAAAAAAAAATTATATTCAAATATTTACAATATCTAATGATTTATTTTAGGAGTCGGTGCCAACCAACGCAAGTTTACAAAGTTACTGTATAGCATTAAAATCCATTAAGGTAGTTTTTTTTTGGTAAAATAAAATTTCAAACTGATCAGTGGCTAGCATGTACCAGTAATACCGGATAAGGTCGTTTTAAATCAATAAATTTAAATGTCTAATTATAGACGAGCACAAAGTTAAATTAGTAAGCAAAGCAAAAATATTTCATCTGCGATGGTGTCACTCCTCTCTAAAGTCGGCGACTTTTCAAAGGTAAAAGGACTTTGAAAGGATGTTTAAAACAAATATTACAACTCATTTAACTCAGTAAAATACCGCCTGATCAAAATGACAGATCAACAAAAGTAGGACAAGAGACGTAAATTGAAGTAACAGTGTCCTATACATTATACTTTCTTTAACACTACGGTCTTAGAATAATAACGCATAGAAACCTAGCCCGCACACGCTAAGTGAGGCAAGTTAGAGGGTTCCAAACGCGTCCCAGGAGCGCGCGGGCTGTTAGTGCTCAAGGTCATATTGCACCGCGAACAGCTCCAAAATTTTTTGCTAAAAATGACGAAATGTGCGGTAAATGGGTGTAAAAATACAACAGACAAACATAAAATAGACACTAACATCGCATTCCACAAGTAAGTAATGCGTTTCAACTCATATTTTTATGTAAATATTCATTAAAACAGAAAAATAATTTCGCGGCAACAAGATACGAAAGTGTTGCAAAGTAACGAATTTTTTTTCTCCCCATTTTGCTATTCTGTATCAAAATAATTATATTACGTAAATTTTAGTGGTGCCTGTAATTTAGATTTATTTGCGCATCTTGAACTAATATTTACTTTAATAAACATTAAATGTTTTCGTTAACTCCTGTAAGTGATTGGGACACTTAATTATTTTATAATACTTTTAACGGCTCTGCGTTCATGCTTTATTGAATAATTATTTATTTTAATTTTATTTGAATTGGAGCACATATTGCAACAAATTTACAGTACTTATATATTTGTTTCTACTATAGTGTTGGCACCACCAGTACAACTTTGATAGCTTATTATATGTCTTTCTTTTCGTAACTCAAGCGAAATATTTTATATTAAAATATTTTATTTTCTTAAAAGGGGAGCATTCTTAAGCGATTTTTTAATCTATTTTAACAGTTATTTTCTTTAATGTTTGCTTATGGCATTTTCGGTTTTAGGTTTCGAATATGGCACTATTTCTAAATCCAAGATGCGGGCGCGATTTTTCGAATAATGGCAAGTTGGGTATCGTTTTCGAGATGTTTGGGAATGTTCAATACAAATATGGCACTCATTTCTAAATCCAAGATGGCAAACACGACAGTTCAAACAAGAGCAATATTCGTAATGAGCACCCCCAAATACCTCGAAAACGATACCCAACTTGCCATTATTTGAAAAATCGTGCCCGCCATCTTGGATTAACAAATAGTGCCATATTCACATTGAGCATCCCCAAATACCTCGAAAATGATACCCACATAGCATTT